ATTTAAAGATAGGATTCATACAATGAGGCCATTTGAAATCTCTCTCTTTCTACTAACAATCTCTTCCACTAATTTATTCTAAAAACCTTAAAAATTAAAGAAAATTGATACGCATTCTAATAATTTCTACATTGATAACTAAATCTTTTATTTTATTTATTAATTTTTGTATTATAAATCATGTAGTGTACTATTTTTCTTACAGTTGTCAATAATACATTTTAAATTAGATGATATTATAAAATATTTTGGATTTGTTATTATTTAGATAATAAAATAATTATAAAATATTGTTGGTATATAATATTATAGTTAGTTAAGTTGTAATAATTTGGGTTTTTTTAGCGAATTAGGGTTTTCCACCAATTCGATATTTTAGTGGCCAATTTTTCATCGATTTAGTCAACTCTTTATTGTAGTCCATATATGATTATATACTTAATCCATGATAATTCTATGATTTATTTTGTGTGATGTAAATTTAATGGTCAACATAAGTTCATACAGGGAAAGAACATCTCAATATTCATAAATTGATGAAAACAATGAAAGTTAATAATGTAGTATCTTCATTTCTTATTTGATTCCTAAAAAACAATATTTATAATAAATTTTAATAATTTTTTAGGATTTTTTTGAAGCTTTAATCCGACCGATTCAGTCGATTTCCGATCTGGATCGCCGATTCGTCAATCCGGATCGGTTTTTGAGATGCCCGATCAGGGTCACCGATCCGCTCTTTAAACCATTGACTGGTATTCTAAAATACCTCTTTTTTTTTATAATATATTACTACTGGTATTCTAAAATACCTCATTTTTTTATAATATGAATACCTCATTTCTTTATAATATGTTACTACTGGTATTCTAAAATACCTCATTTTTTTTATAATATGAATACCTCATTTCTTTATAATATGTTACTACTGGTATTCTAAAATACCTCATTTTTTTTTATAATATGTTACTACTGGTATTCTAAAATACCTCATTTTTTTATAATATGTTACTACTGGTATTCTAAAATACCTCTTTTTTTTATAATATGTTATTACTGGTATTCTAAAATGCCTCATTTTTTTTATAATATGTTACTACTGGTATTCTAAAATACCTCATTTTTCTATAATATGTTACTACTGGTATTCTAAAATACCTCATTTTTTTTATAATATGTTACTACTGGTATTCTAAAATACCTCATTTTTTTATAATATGTTACTATTGGTATTTTAAAATACCTCTTTTTTTTTATAATATGTTACTACTGATATTCTAAAATACTCTTTTTTTTATAATATGTTACTACTGAAAATAATTGGTTAAAATACCTCATTTTTTTTATAATATGTTGCAACTGAAAATAATGGGTTAAGGTATTCTAAAATACCTCATTTTTTTTATAATATGTTACTACTGAAAATAATGGGTTAAGGTATTCTAAAATACCTCATCTTTTTTATAATACGTTACTACTGAAAATAATGGGTTAATGAGGTATTCTGAATACCTCATTTTTTTTATAATATGCTACTACTGAAAATAATGGGTTAAATGTTTAATAGAGGTATTCTAAAATACCAAATAATGGGTTAAATGTTTAATAGAGGTATTCTAAAATACCTCACTTTTTTTATAATATGTTACTACTGAAAATAATGGGTTAAATGTTTAATCAAATGTATGCTAAATGCCAAAAAAAAATGGGTTGAATGTTTAATTAAATGTATGTTAAATGCGTCTCATATCTAGTTTTTTTTTTTATATGTTCTATATTTTAAAATTATTTTTATATTTTAAAATTCTTGTTTAATCTATTCAATTGTGATTAGACCAATTCTGAGTTTATGATAAGATTGTTATAAATATTGGGTAAATTTTCTATACTTCTTTTACTGTATAAAACTTATATAGTTCCCCTTATCCAACCATCCATTTTGAATGGATGGCCAAGATAGCCCCAATCACAATGTCACGCCACTACACTATGTTATTTTTAATTTTTTCTACAAAATATATTGACACAAAACTTTAGGCGTCCACTCCTCTCTTAAAATCGTACCTGTAAAAAAATATAAAAATAATATTCTCAATAAAATAAAATGATCCTAAAAGTTTCAAGGGTATTTTGGATCATTGTATTTTATCGATTGTTTTTTTAAACATTTTTTTTAGGTGAACCCCATTGAGATAATGGGACATACCAAATTTCATATTCATATAATTTATAGAAAAATTAAAAATAAAATAGTCTGAGGTGTTGGATCTAAATCAAACGGTCAGTGACTCATTGATATAAATTGAACAATTGGATAAGGGGAAAGTATATATCTTCTATACAATAAGAAAAATATAAAAACCTTTTCCATAAGTATTATACAACTTCTAATGCAAAATTTAGGTCAGTGAATATCCTAAGGTTCAATGCGTTCATCGCCCTCCTACTTCTTTTGGCACGATGTTTATTGGATTAGACCACTAGCTCATATGAACATATGAGCCCAACGGTCCAGATTGAATCTGGGTTGATTTGACGATCACAGATGTCCAGTGATGTTTGAATTTTATTTTTTTTTTACAGATCCAAATCACTTGAAATTTTAGGTGTGTGTTTTTCTTATCAAGACGCACCTAATAAAAAGATAAAAAAATATTTTCAAAAAATAAAATGACCAAAATAGCCCCCCAAAACTTTTTGGGGGTTTTATGGTCAATTTATTTCATATAAAATATTTTTTTGATATTTTTCAAAGTCGATTTGTAGAAAATAAAAACTAAAATTCAAATACTACGGGACATCTGTGATCGTCAGATCGGTCAGGAATCAATCTGGGACCTATATATATATATATATATATATATATAGTAATGTTTTAAAAAAAAAAAGATCAGCGAGGCGGATCGTCAACCCCCATTCTCGATCTAGATCATTCGAACAACGATCGGGATCGCTCTTGAATCGTTTGGGTCGGTGATATTTGTTAACATGAAATACAGACTTAATATAGCAACCGTTAAAAGGTGCAACTTAATTTCAGTAGAAGGCTCAAAAAGGACAATGGGTAAACAAAAAAGAACATGGTTGGAAGTAGTAAGAAAAACTATAAGGACTTGCAATCCGTTAAAAGAAGGCAGACCAAGATTCTTGTGACCGGACCAAGATTCTTATGACAGACTTTAAATAATTGAAAAAACTTCTCATGATGACGATGATTTGTTAACCTGAAACATGGGTTGAATGTCTCAGTATCAGATGCATCTGTGTTTGGCTACCTGGAGGAATTAGGAAAGTCATCCCAATGCTAATAATCATCTTTGATACGTTATTGAAAATGACTAATTATTTAGGCAGAATGTTGGTAAATAATTTACATTACCCCGTTCCATTGATTATGCCTTGTTGTAACGGATTTTAAAACTGTTCTCTACCATTTGTCTCATAGAGATGATGGATGCACCTATATATCATACACCAGTGGTGTATATAATACCAAAGATTAATTTTAGCCTTCTCCAAATAAATCCAAAGTTTCATATATTTTCAAATGAAATGGAAATTTCAGGTTTTTACGAGAAAAATGTACATGTATGCATTCATCATTTCCTTTAAGAAGTTAGGTAACCTGAAAGAGTATAATATTAGAGGCTCACCGTTAAGAGTATAAAAAAGGGAAAAAAGACATATTGGCTTGGCCTTGCTGATGGCTTAGATTCAATCTCTTAGATATAGACCGTTGATGTGTGTAGGCACTGTTACATTCATTTTTATATAGATATTATTTATTTACCTGAATTTTGGGAAGATGTGCGCAACATAGAAAAAAATGCTAAAAGAATCACAATATGCCGCCACCTAAGTTGGTGAATGCCAGACTATTTGGATCATTCAATCTTCAATCTGGGCCATTTGGCATATCCTGTTATATAAGCTGCTTAAGAACTAACAAGACTTTCCCTGCTTAAGAACTAACAAGATCAAGCTTAAGAACTAACAAGATCATGCTTAAGAACTAACAAGACTTTCCCTCCAATCAAGCTTTTGAAACATCGACAGCATTCATCTTCTACACAGCTTCACTCAACCAATGGCTGCTCTCATGATTTTTGAGGCGACACTTCTTCTCTCATTATCATCTGTAGCAGCACAGTCCTTTGCTACAAGAAACATACGCTTGGGTTCTTCTCTCTATACAACTGCAGCAGGTAACAACTTCAGTTACTGGCTGTCCCCATCTGGTAACTTTGCCTTTGGCTTCTACCCTCTCTCAGATCACCAGCAATTTATAGTAGGAATATGGATGCCTAAAACCCCTGAAAATACACTGGTTTGGTCGGCTGATAGAGATGGGCCTCCCTTTTCACTTGGCTCTTTCTTCTCTCTAACAAGAAATGGCACACTAATTCTAAGAAACAGGGAGCCCCAAATAGAAACCATCTCCATTAACACGACACCAGCTTCGTTGGCCTCATTGCTCGATAATGGCAACTTGGTTTTATACAATTCACAATCTCAGGTAATTTGGGCGAGCTTTGATTCTCCAACCGATACAATTTTATCAGGCCAGACGCTAAACAATGGATTCAAGTTCTCCTCTAGTGCCCCAGAGACTAATTACTCGACCGGTAAATTCCAGCAATTTATGCAAAGTGATGCGAATCTGGCCCTCTACTACTCTGTTAGAGGGAGCAAGGACAACCATCACAAACGATGATGCATATTGGGTAAGTGATGGTACATGGATAAAAGGGGCTAATGTAACTCTGAACCTAGCCCAGATGGGCATATGTATATGGTTAATTCAAATGGTTCTATAAACTTACCAATTTGCAAAATCAAAGGTCTATTTATAGAGCAAAGCTCGAGGTTGGAGGAAATTTTCGACTGTTTTCCCATAGTTTGGATAATAATGCTGTGTCTGTCATCTGGTCTGCACTAGAGGATCCATGTAAAGCTCATGGGCTCTATGTGGGTTTAATGGCTACTGTACTCTAAAGGACATGGATCCAACCTGCAAATGTCCACCTGGTTTCAGCTATATGGACCCCTATGATAGTTTTCAGGGTTGTGAAAAAATCTTCACAGAAAAGGAGGAATGCAAGGGAAATGGAGGGATTCAAAGATGTGAAATGATTGAAATGAAGAATATAGAGTGGCTCAATAATGCTTATGTGACCTTATCAGGAAGCGAAGAAGATTGCAAGCAGGACTGTTTGGACGATCGATATTGCATAGGCATTCTCTTTCAAGACCATAGTTGTGAGAAGCATAGTGAAAGCATGTTTTGGGGCTTCTGTGTAAAGGACTAGTGGAAGCATAGTGAAAGCATGCATCAAAGTGGACAAGAAGCCCTCAAACAAAAGAAAAGGTGCGAAACACAAGATACTACTATTAATTGGTCTAGCTCTGATTGCCTTCTGTGTAATCCTTGTATCAACTGCAATCTTTCTTTTCTATCATTCAAGGTTTGGCAAGCGCTTCCAAAAGATTTTGAACCAGGCAAAATTGGCCCAAATGAGGTCAATCTCAGGTCATTTAGCTATTCTGAACTCAAGAAAGCAACCCAAAAGTTTGCTACTGAGTTCGGCGACGGGGCTTTTGGGACTGTTTACTTTGGGTCCTTCCCTTGCAATACAAAAGTTGCAGTCAAGAAGCTCAAGAAGGTGATTGAAGAAGGGGAATGAGAGTTTCAAACAGCGATGAATGTGATTGGAAAACACATCATAGAAACCTCGTACACATTGCAATCAAGGTTCTCACAGGCTCTTGATTTATGAGTTCATGGAAAATGGATCACTCGCAGACCTTCTCTTCAAAGCAGAGTCTAGACCCAGTTGGGCTCAAAGGGTTGGTATCACCTTAGACATAGCTCGAGGGCTTCTATACTTGCATGAAGAATGTGTGACCCAAATCATACACTCTGACATAAAGCCCCAAAACATACTTCTTGATGAGTTTTAAACCGCTAAGATATCAGATTTTGGGTTAGCCAAGTTTTTGAAGCCTGACCAAACAACTACTTTTACTGGGATTCGAGGGACTAGGGGATATGTGGCTCCTGAATGGCACAAGCACCAGGCTATAAAAGTTAGGGCAGATGTATATAGCTTCGGGATCATGTTAATAAAGATCATATGTTACAGAAAAGCAGTGGAGACTGGGGCTCCTGAAAATGAAATTGCATTAACAACTGATTGGGTCTACGAGTGTTTCAAAACTGGGGAGTTGGAGAAATTGGAGAGATTGGCTGACTGAGGGGTGGAGAAGAAAATGCTCGAAAGGATGGTAATGATCAGTTTATGGTGCATGCAAGAAGACACACATTAAGGCTTTCAATGAAGAAGGTGGTGTTGAGGCTTGAAGGCACAGTGGATGTACCAGCTCCTCCCAGCCCAAGTTCTTTTCTGAGCTCAATATAATTCAAATGGGAAGTTCTGTTTCTGTACAGTAGTCATATTGAAAATGATAGTTTGATCATGTTATTGTGTTTAGATACAATGGTTGTTTCTATATTTTAGTGTTAGGATTGAACTGTCTCTAAGTATCCACTATGTTTCTAGGCAATCATTGTTTATGTTTCTAAGTGCTCACTGATGCAAAGCTATTCATGAGGTTCCAATCCAAAATTTTAGGATCTCCTTTGGAATCACCAGATGAGTGCTTCCCAGAAAAGTTAGATTTTGAGTTCTTGAATACTTAGACAGTCTTTGTTCAATCTTAGGACATTT